TCATAACTCCAGGGGTGTCCCTCATCTTTGCGAAACCACAGCGTGAAGACAGCCAGAGAATCTTATTAACATAGCTGGTAATATGGTGCATAGACATAAATCAATTATTTTACACACACCTGAAGCGCAGACTGAGAAAAGATTTTGAACCTTCAACACACCCCCTCATAAAACTGAATTAGAAATAACCACATTCCACCTCATCTGGTATAATATTACACAGTAATATACAGTTATCAGTTTGGAGGTTTTTATAAAAACATATATCTATAATAATTACCTTTACTGTCCCTGCTACTTTGCACATTAAAACAAAACTTGTCTTCTGCTTTTATTCCATCCCTTGGGGAGCAGTGGGGTAACATGATGAAGCACCTGGGAACAATTCTGGGGCGTACGGTTTTTCACAGGGACACCAAATAGCGGTTTGTGGGATTCTAACCACAAAACTTACATCCCCCTCAGTTAAAAGATGTAAAGAGATGTAGGAGATGTAGGAGACATTGACATTGCATTGACTCAAAAGCAAGCCCTTACACCAAGCATGCTTGTAGCGACAGTGGAGAGGAAAAACTCATTTTTAACAGGAAGAAACCTCCATCAGAACAAGGCTCAGTGTGAGCGGCCATCTGCTGAGGCAGACTGAGGTTTAAGGAGACGAAAGCAGACATAGAGAATGAAGCAGATATAAATTGATAAAGCCATGATGACTAGCCAACTGAACATTATTGGTGAGGACTAAAACATTAAAGAAAGAAGTACTAATGAAAACTGCAATTACAAGAAATGAAAAAATCATTGCAAATCCAGGAAAACTTAGGAGCAATAAAAGGAATGACGCTGCTCAGCATCCAGTATTATTTATCAGTGAAAACCAAAAACTTTTACAAGCAACCAGTCTTTCAAAAGGTATTTTTTTTTATGTTTAGATGACTACCATGATTAAACCACTATTAATTAACTAAAAGTTCTGCTTTCCATCACATCACCCCAGTCCCAAAGGAGCTTCACTGAATTCCTATCCGCATCAGAATCCAGTTTAAGATCCTCCTATTTGCTTTCAAGGTCATCCATAATCTTGCTCCCCCATACCTCTCAGATCTCCTTCAGATTGCCATCCCCTCCCGTACCCTTAGATCTTCCCCTTCCATGCACCTTGTTGAGCCTCCTGCCCGACTCGTCACCGTGGGGAGCGGAGCCATTCTTCTTCCAAACCTTGGAATTCAATCCCACCTGATATTTGTAACACTGACACATGTCCAAATTGGTGTATATTGTTTGATATTTTGCATTTTAACTGTTTGCGAAAGGATTTTTCTTTCTAAATGAATCATAAATGTAAAAACTGATCCTTTTCCAATCAATACATATTTATAATAATAAGGATTTTTCAAAATAATGATTTTTTTCCTCCGTTTAACAATTGTGTCATGGCAATAAAAGATTAATTCATTTGAAGTTCTTTCAGATCTTTACTTGGTGTCAATAAGTACTGAAGTCGCTGTTAATCATGTGTACTGTATATTATAGCACACATGTTTCTCAGCTTACCTCCTGAGGCCAAGTGTCAAACCAGTAAGTCTTCTAGAACACCCACAAGGCCTCCCTTTAAGATGTTTTTCATCAATAAGGAAGTCTTGGGAAATAACAGACCTCACAAATACAACTATTATTTATGTTGAGAGCTCAGAGCCAACATGGAGCTTCAATCTTAAAACCAACCATAAATAAAAGTTTAAAGTAAAACCCTGACTCACACAGCCACAAAAAAACAAACATTTGCTCCTGAAATCTTCAATTTCTCTTTAAGCATTTAAAACTAAATGCTGTGTTTAATTAACAACTAGTAGGAAAAGTGTTACACAACTTGTTCACTTGCTGAGCAAACAGAAAACAGTGTTTTGCGTTTTGCTCTAGCTACTAAGCAGAAGAAGATTTATATGCACAAACGTTGAGCTGTGATGCACATCACAGAGACAGAGCATCGCTCCTATAAGACATTAAAACAGAGAACAAACCCTGCAAACTGTTCCCAACATGTCACCAGCTTCTACCTCCGGCCCTTTTCATTTAGTTTCCTCATATCTAGACTCAGTACAAATCAAATTTAAAAAACGGTTATAGGACAAACGCAAATAAAAGTAGATAGTCCATCTTTTTTATTAACAAGTAGAAATTGAGAGGGTTGGAAAGATATAGAGTGTGATCAGGGAGGAAAAGAGGTAGGTAGGGAGAGCACAATAATCAAACAAGAGAGGAGCGCCGCAGTCCGGGAAGTGCACAGAGGTCCGTGGAGTCATCAGAAATGCAACGATTTCTAAAAGCAAGAATATGATTTTTAAATCGACAGATGATGGGACCAGGTGGGAATCAACGAGAGCAGGAATCGACTCTCAAACAAGATAATTGCTGTCAGAAATTATAGAGTGATGGAAAAAGGAGGAGGTGGAATGACTGAGATGTGGGCTGAGAGAGGCGAACAGAAATGAATAACAGTGAAAAGTGATTAAGACCGAAGGCTGAACCTATGAACTTCTCTGTGCTTAGGTTTTAAATGCTTTCAGCTAAATATAATAGGAAGCTTTTCTCAACAGATTAAATCTAAAAGGAATGCATCTGGGGTGTCTTTAGCAAATGAGAAAAAAAAATCATGGATCAAATATACAAGGTTTTTGATTGGATGGATGGATGGATGGATGGATGGATGGATGGATGGATGGATGGATGGATGGATGGATGGATGGATGGATGGATGGATGGATGGATGNAATGTTTAAGTACAGAATTCTCTTTTTTTTTTTTTGCTTGGAAGGAATGAAAAGAGGTCGTCTACAGGCCTCAACCAACAAAGCAGGTTACCGTGTGATCCCAACACACAGAGCTCAGCTGAGTTGGGTCTTCTTCAAGAAGATTAAATAACTTTCACGTTATGGAATTTTAAATACAGCAAGAGGTTCATACGGAAAATAAGGTGCTTGTTTGGAATTAATAAATTAAATAATTAATTTTAAAAGTCCACCTATCTGAAGACATTAAAAACTAATCTGTACTATCTTAATGACTTGCAATATTTTTATGCAGATGTGATAAAACAGCAAAACAGGATTCTGCACATTTAGATATTGCTATTTGAGAAAACGTATTTATTTGTAATCCATAACCTTTCATTATGCTTTAGGGAACTGTCCGTTCACTTCTAAGTATTTTTTAAATGTCTGAAACAGATTTGAAACTTGATTACCATTTAGAATTAAAATGATATAGTATTATACATTTAAACACCAGAATTTCCCCAGTGTGGGAACAATAAAAGGATTTTCTATATGAGGATATTTATCTAAGCTTTTAAATACAAGAAACAGTAGAAACATATTGTTTCTTTTCAGATCTACTGTTATGTATTCTAATTGACTGGGGATACGTAAGCAATATTTCAGCTGCTTTGATGTTAATTTTTTCGTTGTTTTTTTTTTAAAACTTAATTTAACTCATTTATTTTTTTAAGCAAGGAACGAAAACAAAAAACTTTTTTTTTTTTTTTTTTTTAAAGAAATTAGAGCACCTTATGGTGCAAGCAACATTTGGTTTGTTTAGTCTTTGGACTGTTGGAGATTAATAGAATAACTCTGGATAATCTAGAATGGTTTCTAGATTTGTATTTATCAAATACCCAGAAAACGTATTTTTTTACGTAAACATATCACCGGACAAACATATCAACGTTTTTGTTTTTCCAACAATTCCTTTGGATAATTTTCCTCAACTCTACCATTTTAATGATGATTCAAAAATCCTGGACTTTAATGGAATAAATTGGGGAACTCAAGGTCAGTGCACAAAATGAAGAAAAACTAGTTAAACCCAAATGGATGATATGATCTATTTAGTTTCTGGCTTTGCATGTCGAAAGTATTCATAAATATTAGCAGAATTATGAGCTTCTTCTTCTGAACTTCTAAATGTTCACCTTGGCTAATGCTTCTATTAATAATAATGAGTGCGTAGATGTGTGCTTGTGTGTGTGTATGGGGGGGTTATGTCTAGGTACGCGTGCCTGCGTCCACCTCCACGTATGCTAATGCTGTTATGACTGGCTGGCTTCATTACTGTCTGTCTACAACACCATGGCCAAGGTCAGCAGAGGCTGCAGAGATGATAGGGGCCGAAACTATGAGCAGAAATTAATCTGCTGTTTAATCTAATAATGCAGCACAGCATCGGGTGCCTCAGTCCTATTAACACAACTGTAATTGCATTTGAGGAGAAATGGGAGTATGCAAGTCCATTGAGGTGTGTGCACACTCAAGTGTACACCCAGGTACATCAAACACAAATCGAATTGTATTACAGAAGGACACACTGGTGCAAGACACACAAACACTCTAGATGGATTCCATGTTGGGAAAGGGAATTAAATGAGACCAAAACAAGGTGAGGGTTTTCCCTCTGAATTTACTTCAAGCAATCAAAACACCAGTGCGTGTGTGTCCGCATTTACAGTATATGGCATGGAACGGCTTTAAGCATGGAGCACTGCTCATTAACATGGTAATATCTAAACAGCGGGGTGTAGACGCAGCAACAGCGTATTATTAGGATTCATCTCATTAAGCTTTCATGAGATTTAAAAGTTAACACAAAATAACTTGAAAACTAAGTCTGAGATTTAAAAAAAAACATAGCGTGGATGCCTGAATTCATTGCCTAAAAGTTAAATATACCCCCTGGAGACAACCTGCAGCAACGTGTAAGTAGAAGCTGGCCTGAAGTAAGCCGATTAGACGGAAATAAAAAAAACTTGGTCATGCAAGAACTTCTGGTGACATTTACTGAAATAAGTAATTACAACGAAACAAGGAAGTTTATCTTTAACTGAGACTGCAGGAAGTACGCTATCTTCAAACTCTTATAAGTAAAGACACAAGGGGAGTTCTTAGATAAAGTGGACCTCTGCTGATTATTTAAGGTTAGTGTGATAATTCAGCTGGTTTGATACTCACCGCGGTGAGATGGATCACACCCTTAGAGGTCACGGGGCATCCCATGAAGCCCACAAACTGCAGCTCAGGACAGTGCTCCGCTACGGCCCGCACAGACTGATCGGTGACCTGACAAAGGAAAGAAAAGAAAAAGAAAGGGAAAAAAATTTAGAACACTTTCAAAAGTAGGAAACACTTTGAAAAAGGCTTCAAAGCACCAGATGGGAGGCATTTCACCCTTAATTCAGGTTGAATATGTTTGATTTATGATTGGGATTCAAATAAGATGGCCATTTCTTTTTTTTATTTACAATAACCAGCAACAACAATAATCGTCCTCCAAAATTATTCCTAGTTAATTTTCAGGGGAACGTTTAAGGTCAATTTCCATCTCTGCCAGTGTGCCCCCACTTCATTAACATCTGTGCTATTTTTATGCTCTCATTTGGCTTTGAATCCAGCCGATGCTTTCCCTGACCTTGGTACCTGTAGAAAAAAATATGAGATAGATTTCTAGAAAATTAGAGACAGACAGACCTTATTGAACAAATCCATGTTTTATTGCATTTGAGGATTTAAATATACCCTGGCGATATAACTGATCTTTATATCATGACTTTATATCACATACCAGTTCCATTACATGTGATTCTAATCCAAGCTTAAAGCAATAATTTTTCTGTGATATTTTTACAGATTAAATAAATAAAAAATAATAAAAAAAACTTTGAGTATTGGCATGTTGTAATTATCCCTTTTAGAAATGTAATCATAGTTCTTTCTTCTAGACTATGACTGGAATATAAGAAGTTAGTTTCAATCAGTTTAAAGCGGTACCTGATGAGTGAGACAGAGATGCACGGTGTACACACATCCCATGGTAGAAATCAGCAAAGGTAAAAAATTGCAAAAAGCAAAAAACTCAGGACTTGACCCCCAGATCTTTATCCAAGAGCAAACCATTTAAAAGAGATGTACTTAGGGTGTTTCTGTTTGGTCTCAAGTACCTCTGAATTAATTTGAAGAGAAATAATCAGAAAAACAAATGTAGTATCATTTCACCATATTTAGTTTTTATTGTTTGTTTTTTTTAAGAATTTTCTGTGCACTTTATTTCCTATAGTTAGGTTCTTATTGCTGTTTGTACCAGTTGATCTAACAAAATATAATAAATTACGCTAACTGCTAAACTGTCAATAAATGATAGACAACCTCTATTAGATATTTATTAAAGACGCCTTATTTTCTTTCAATATATTAGTAGTACCCTCCCTTTTCTGTTTCTGTCCCCTTAAAACTAGAGGGGTCTTTTTTTTTCCTCCACTCTCAGTAGAATATTCTATAAGTGAATCAAATGTGTATAAGATGGCAATAATTAATTGTCTCTTAACAGTTGCAGCTAAATCTGCATCCCTGTAATCATTTTGGAGCTTTTTTCAATTGGACTTTTTAACTCTGATCTGCTTCAGTGGCTTTTTAGGAAACCACTTAAGCAGATACAGAAAAAAATCAGGTGAAAAACAACTAAAACTGCAGGAGCAAACCATAGCAAAAGGCCGACATTACCCCAACACATAAGGGAAACTGGGTTCAAATTATTAAATACTTGTGATAAATATAAATCATATATTGTATGTGAAGGTGGTTTACTGTATGTGTGACACCAATGGCTGTTGATGTCAAAATCTACATACAACAAAGAACATTTAGGAGGCACATCTAGTGGTTAAATGACTGTTGAACACTTAACACCTGAAAGTTGTTGCTTTTGTGGTCTTCATGATTTTTTTTTTATATGTTCAACTGCAAAAACACATATTGTATTATTTTATGTATCTGGAACTATATTCAACTGGTAAAATCTGCAGATTTAAGTCTGCTTAGAAATATAGTGAAAGTCTTTCTGTTTATTTTTCCACATAAACCTACATATAATCCACTGAGTTTAGGGTTTGTTGTGTTTACTACAAGCTGAAATGACACAGTGACCCACAGTTTCTTTAAAGAGTTCAGGGATCTAGTAAAGACAGAGCAAGGCACAGCAGACAAGTACTGAAACCACTCATCATCCAATATCATCTCACATTATAAGGGAGCAAGAGGCAGCCAGGAGGTCAAATGTGTTAAATGAGAACAGAAGTTTCTGTCCATGAGGGCAGGAAATGAAGAACAGCGACACTTGCATGAGGTTTTGTATGAATTCAATTAAGAAAATTGACCATTTAAGTCTTTATACAGCGTACAACTGCAAAAAGAGAATGTCTTGCATGACAATATTGGAACAACACATTAAACCATCCTTTTACTTATTGCATCATCCGTAGCTATTGCTCTATTTGTTCAGTCTTTGTTTTTTCACGCAGAGACCAGAGGTGATTGACTAAAGCTAAACTTTGGATTTAAATGAAGAGATTAAAAGGAGGCATAAAATATAGACGGCAATTGTTTACATCAGGTAGATGAATATTTTGTTTTCAGTCATCAGTTGTAAACTAACAGTTAAAAATGGATCAGAGATCCACAAAAAAACACCAGTTTCTTTATACAGACACAGAATTGTTTTTGTTGTATTGTTAATATTCTCTTAAAATGTAGTGGAGGATGTCCTTTTTCTAGGTGGATCATCTAAATTATTGGTCCTCCTAACTTTCAATCACTCCGGTGATATGTTTAGGTAAAGACGCCCTACATGCTCGTTCCAATTTTCACTTACCGGTGGTGAGTCTGACATAGAAGAAAAATTGCAAATCTTCTTTTGGAAAGTAAGCTTGTATGAGTGATGCAAACAGCAACTGTTAAACAGAACGTGCACGAGGAGAAAAGGCCTCCTGCATGCTCTTGCAAGAGTTTAATAGGTACAGGGTTGTGCATGTGCATTTTTTTTTTTTTATGGAGAGGGTCTGTCTTTTAAAAAAATAGGAAAATCCTCCACTATACCCTTTAAGAGATGTGGACAAAGTTCTGCTAACCTTTTAAAAAGTGAAGGTATCCATCTATGGGGGTGTTATGACACAATTTCATCTCAGAATCAGTTCTTCACGAGCTTTAGTAAAGAATAAATGAGACAAAATGTCATTCTTTAGAAATCCTAAATAAATATTTTTTGTAGCATTAATAAGCAGGTAGAACAACAGATGAATAAAGTACGTGCTTTATTAATTTAACATAATCATTATTTGTCTATATTTCAGTTGTTTCATTTTGGTTTTCCTGACCCCAAAGCTTTAGATTTAAGCACACCTTTCCTTCCATCTACTGTTTGCTCATTCTTAATTTTTCTTTCTTCCTGTATCGCAGCCTGGCTCCTGCCCTCCCAGCCTACCTTAAAGGTTACTGAGTCGAGGTAGAGGAAGATGAAAAACCCTGGGAGACGGTGAGGTAGAGAGAAATCACAAAAAGAAAGAACAAGGTGTCCATTTATCTTTCACCAAGTCACAGGATGGCTTATCAGGGTAAAACACCTCCTATGAAGCTCAAAGCTTTGTCTCTCACCTTATCTGCAACAAGCCAAAGTGCTTGCAAAGAGCAAAATGCCTCATAAAGGAATGTGAGTGCAAAGTCTTAGCAGTCATAAGAGACAAGCAGAATAAGCTGTGAAGTAATAATGGAAAACCCAAACCAAAAGATGAAGCCAGTATAGATACAATGAAGAACCTATAGACAGAAAGGTTGTGGAAAAAATATATCCGTGTCATGTTTTCTATTATTTAAGCAATGTTTCTAAGTCTGTAATTAGAAAATAACAATCCTGATGTATTTTCAGGAATATTTATAGAACAATGACAGTTTGTATAATTAGCATTTAAAGTAAATAAATCGGTTGTATTTAAACATTCTGTTCATATTTGTCATTTATTTTTTTTTAGCTTAAATTAAGTAATACCTTATGTCTATGCCACACTCCATGAAACATCTTCATGCTGCGTCTTTTCTCTTGACTTATGTTTGTCCTGTTCTGCATGGATGTAAGCTGGAGGTTTATGAAATGATGACGAAAACTTAAAATAAGTAACTGGCTACTCAAAAAAACAAGCTTTTTATCATCTTTGTTTGTATACTCCATCTGGCTGTATATAATGAGCCTGGCTAAACGGGAGTTTTTCCGTCTACTGCTGCAACAAGCATGCTCAGTATGAGAGATTGCTGCAGGTTCAATAAAAGCAACTGTTCTCTGTCACTATAGGTTCATCCAAGGAGAGCGCTTGCTGAAAAATCAATACCTCCATACAATACTGGATTCCCTTATGTAGAAAACAGCCTAGAGATGCACCACTTCGATACCAGAATTGATATCAGTGATTTCATATCAGATATCTTTAAATATCTTATTTATTTATAAATAACACAATTACATTTATATCTGTGTTCATTTGTTTAAATAAAACTATGTGAGCCTTCACTCACATGGCAAGAAAAATTATTCATTCATTCAATAGTTGAATCGGATAGGTATCGGATATTGGCCACTACGTTCAGCCCAGGTATCGTATCGGATTGGATCGGGAAAAAAATTGATTGATGCAAATCTAAAACAACTTAAGCGATGTTGATATGAACTTAATTGATTTATTTGCTAACTGGAATCAAGTAGAATTTATGTCACTGGCCAGAAATCTGGCTGTATGATTCTGCTGAATTGTCTTATTGCAAATCGCCTTAAGAGACCCTATCATGTTAACTGGTGCTATATAGATAAACTGAATTAGAGCGAAGTGTCATACTTTCAAACTACATTTGATTAAATATTTGACCAGCTGGCTTCTCTGACAGCCCTCAGTGTCCACAACTATTTTGCACCATTGGTAGTTGAGATGAGAAAGTCCAATTTTCTCCAACATATATATATATATATATATATATATATATATATATATATATATATATATATATATATATATATAAATAAAACATAAAGGTTATCTCTGCTTAGTAAGATAAATGATCCTGCTAACCATAGCTTGTGTCTACATTTCTGGTTTCAGGTGCTTTCAGACTTCAACAGCATGCAGGTTTTTGAACGATCAATACCTTGACAAACCTACAGTCAGGATGCACGACTCTCCCTTACACAGCTTCCTGCAGTTAAAAAAAATTACCCCAAGATAAATCCCCTGTTTTAAGACAATAGT